CGGTCCAGGACACATTTTTCATGGCTGGGAATTTGGTAGGGCCTACATACAATACATTGTGGAGATGTTGATGACTATATGTACCACTGTGTCATTTATCTGTGCCTGAAAAGCTCTCCACACATTATAAATGGCTCAAAGCTTCAGGATATTGATATGAAGGGAAGCTTCCTGTTCTGTCCACAAACCTTGAACCTTCAATGTCCTCCAATGAATTTCCCAAGTAGCATGGAGGCATCTGTACCTATGGTCCTGACTGGAGAAGGATGGGGAAAGGGAACACCCTTACCCATATCGATCTGATCTGTCTACCTCTCTAAGGACTCAAAGATGGGCAATGGCGGCATTCCCACTAGGCCATCCAGTGACTAACCATTCAGATGATATACCTACTTCAAGCAGCCCCGAAACCTGTTGTGCCTTGGGAAAATCGCCACATGGAAGTAAGAGTCCTGAAGATTGAGGGAGACAAACCAGTCGTGTGCTGAACCACATAAATGCATGCCCCCATGTGGCCTAGCAATCTCAGACATACACAGATTGTAGTTGAAGGGTGGGAATGGAGACAAGCACAGGCGATGAACTGTTTGAAATAGTTTGTTCAGCAGAAACAGCCTCAAACTTGTAGAGTCCAGTAGGGTCCCAATGAGCTTGATTTTACATGTTGGTATTAATGCTGATCTCCCTTTGTTCAAAAATCAGACCCAGACAATCAAAAGAGATGCAATGTGTACTGGACATGACCAATTATTTGGTCTCTGTACTTGCCCCTCACTAACAAATTGTTCAGGTACGAAAAGACATGAAGTCCTCTTTTTCTGAGGCACACTGCTACTACCATCATGCATTTGGTAAACAGCCAAAGGACAGGGCAAAGGGAAGCACTATGTATTGATAATACTGACCTGTCACCACAAACCTCAGAAACCTCCTGTGCCTTGGTAAAATAGACACACAGAAGTAAGCGTCCTGAAGATGGTTCGCAAACCAGTCGTGCTTCAATGCAGGGAGAACAGTAGCTAGGGCAGTGATAGGGACTAAGGCTTGCGAGCCGCAAGTGGCTCTTTGCAGCACATGATATTAAAACACTGATTTTATTAATCAATCTACGTTATTAACCTATCAGGATACTTTTGCTATGTTATGAACCGACTAAGTTATCAACTTGCACTAAGTTATTAACTTATTTGCTGTGAGAATAATATAGTAAATGAAACAATGAATTCACACTACTGTGGCTCTTTTGGGTAATGTTGATTGCTAATTTAGCTCCTGAACCACTGAGGTCTGAGTACCACTGAGCTAGAGTAACCATGCAGAATCTTGTTTTTGATGTACTTGTTAAGACAATGGAGATTGAGGATAGGTCTCATCCCTCCCTTGGGCTTGGGGATGAGGAATTACCAAGAGTAGATCCCTTTCCTCAATTCTGAAGGGAAACCTCCTCTATGGCTCCCGAAGCCTAGAGAGCCTGAACCTGCTGCAGGTGCTGAGACTCGTGAGGGGGGACTCGGGAAAGGGAGAGGTAGGAGGGTGGGAAGGGGGACTGAACAGGAATTGAATAACATAACCCAGTCCAACAGTGATTAACACTTGTACGTCGTTAATGACTCTAACCTGTAGAAGTGGGATAGCCTGTCCCCAAACAAGAGAAAAATGACTTAAAGCTTGATGACTGGAATGTCTACCACGGAGAGCCTGTCCAGTTCACTGCTTGCACGACACTAATGAAGGACAGGCTGACTGGTTGAAATTGAGACCACAAGACCTTCTCCTACATGACTCGTCTCCCTTTCTGGAGAAATCCTGCTGTTTAGAGGGATAATTCAACTTAAAGAGCTGTTGGAGTGATATTGCTGCTGTTGCCCCATGAAGCCTCTTTATTGCCAGGTTTAAAACCATCAAATGAATGCAATGTAGCTCAAAAGTCCTTAAAGGAATGCAGTGTTTTGTAAGTTTTGTCCAAAAACAAAAATCTACCATCAACGGGTAAGTCAGTCCTCAACCGTCTGTTGGACATCAGGAGCTATATCAGAGTTCTGCAATCATGAAGACCTGTACAGCAGAGGCCATAACTCTGGAAACATCCACCATGTCCAAAGCTGACTGTTGTGACGTCTTTACCACTAGATGGCCTTCTGCAACAAAAACCTTGAACTCTTCCCTGGAGGATTCTGGCAAATGACCTGTAATTTTTGCCATAGCTTCCCAAGTTACAGAGTAATACTTTGGCAATGCGGATTTGTAAGGATGAGGTAGAATAATTTTTCCTCCCCAAAAGTCCCATCTTTTAGAGTCCTTGTCCTTTGGTGTCCTTATATCTCCCCTGTCTTAACCTCTCATTAGCTGCCTTTATGGCAAGAGAAAGGCAGTGGATGCAAGAACAAGCACTCAAAACAGTGCATAGGTATACAGTATGTCTTATGAGTACACCTCGCTGTAGATGGTAAGGATGCTGGGTGTTCCATAGCGTCTTCCAAGATTCCAGGTTCCAAGATCACTTCAATTATGGAGAGAACCACTCTCCCTAAAGCTGAGGACTGGAGAATATCCAGCAACTTGTCAGTGCTCTCCTGAACAATCACCCTATACACTCAAGGCTGAAGCCATGCACCTTAGGCGGTCCTGACACCTTTTAAAATCCTCAGGTACAGGGGAGGAAGAAATCTGGCATCACAGAGTTGTCTGGTGATGAAGAGGAGGAAGGAAGCTGAGCCAACTGCATCTCCTGTGGTGCCTGTAACAATGGCTCAGGCTGAACCAGTTCAGCAGGAGCAACAACCCGCATCTGTGGCTGCAGTGTTGGAGGGTTCAGGAGGGGAGGCTATCAGCAGAATAAGTGACCTCATTCTGCACTGAGGAGAAGATTAAGACCTCGCCTATTGCACAACATCCCAGGGGTTCCAAGCTATCCCTGCTATGGGAGCAGTATTGATCTCAGTACTAATGGTGATCCCCATAAGGTCTTGATAACTTTCAAAAATGATACCGAGAAGGTGAGGGAGAGGAGGAAGACATCTCTGAGCCCAACCCTGAAGAACATTCCAAGTAGTCCACAGGCAATGGAGGAGCCTCCCCCTGGAAGGGCCAGTAAGTATCCAGCCTCATCTGAAGTCCAGAACACAGGATGCATCAGTACCAACAAAGGTAAAGCAGTCAAGTACTTATAGGGGCCTCACACTCACACTTGGTACCAGAGCAGATGTTGGTACTGAAATCAAAGCTGGCATCAGACCCACAGATGGAGCGTGCACCAGAGTCATCAAAGCACCAAAGACAGCATCTGCACTGACAAGCCCCTCAGTACCAAAAAGGCATGAGATATCAACTCTGCACCTGAACTGGAAAAGGCACAGAAGATAGTGCCAACAATAACAACAAGTCTGCAACCAATCCAAACAGTGCCGGGGACACAGAAGAAACCACCACAACTGAACGTTTCTGAACTAGTGGAGAGTCAGGAACAAATAAGGAAGCAAGTCCAATGCTGCCTGATATGCCACTTGCATGGAAACAATTGGTGCCCACACCCATGTCATCGGTGCCAAGCTCAACAGAAGTCCCACAAATGGTACCAGAGTGAATGATACGGAGCCCGCTTACTCTCACCTCACTAGCAGAGAGCAGGTAAATGGCCCTGCTCTAGCTCATGTATCAGATCAATCACAGTACTGGTCTGCACTCACCTTAGAAGGAGAGGAGGAATCTCTCTTAGCTTTGGAATGGCCCCAGTCCACTGTAGGAGATCTTTTTCTAGAAGGACCAGAGGAAGGAGAACTGTCTCTCTTCCTCCCAGAAGAGGAATCCAAAACTGGCCAAACCACCAGCCTTGCTGGCTTAGATGCCTTCTGGAGGGCCTGATGATCTATGGAGGTCCCCAGTGCCAACAGCAGACCTCATGGCCTATTCAGAAGATACTGCTTCAAGTGCAAGTCTCTGGCCACCAACATTCTCTTCTTGCAGATGAAGCACCTTTCTTTAATATGCCCTTCCCAAAGGGACAACAAACAGTAAGAGTGTGGGGATCACTATTGGGGGATAATTACTCCACACGACGGGCAGTGTTTAAACACCAGTGGGGGCACCACACCAGGCAAATCCTAACTAACTAAACCTAAATCAACTGCAACTAACTCCTCTACCCAATAAATAAATAAATAAATAAATCTCTCAGATGACACTGCGAAACAAAATGTTACATAAAAACTGCACAGAGCACTCCAACACAAGCCATGGGCATTGAGAAGCAACTGATGGGATTGGACAGCACTGCCCTTAAATAAGCAAGGGTGTGGCTAAGAGTCCAGAGTGTGTGGGCACAGCCCCTATGGGTATAGCTAGGCTGGGCACACACACACACACACACACACACACACACACACACACACACACAC